AAACATTTGGTACAAATTAGCTCTGCTCACCTCAAACTTGTCCCTGAAGGTGGTAGAGTATCTGGGCTAATGATGTTGTGATTTTTCTGAACACTGTTGTCGGCAGCCACAGAAAGTGCTCTGGAAGGAGCACTAAGCAGATTATAATCTCGCTTTTAATTTTCATTCTTTTTCCATCCTAACTGGCTGCACAGCTTGTGGAAAGTAATGTTTTCTCTCTGGACTTAAGAGGTCAGAAGCACTGCCCTGGTCTGAATGAGAAGGGCCAGGCAGGACTGCTGGCATCGTTTCTGAGACCCAGTGGGAAACGAGTCTGTGTGTCCTTGATTAAAAAAGTATATTATGGATTTTAGGGCGGTGGCTGCAGAGCATTGGAACCAGCATGAGCACCTGCATGAGCATAAGCACAGGACCCTGTATGACTACACAGATCTCCTGCTCATAAAGGCAGCCCTGACTCCAGGCCTGTGGCCCAATGTGGGGACACGGCTGTTCCTGGGGGGATTTTGTGAAACTCTATGCACAGCTTACATCTGCTGGGAGTACATTTGTAACACACCTATGGGGTGGATATAGCAACAGCTTCACTTTACATGAGTGATTTCAGAGAGTAATTATTTACCCATGCATAAGCAGTAAATACTCAGCCATAAAAATCTCCTAAACACAATTTGTAGAGAAAGAAATCATTTGAAAATGTTTCACCAAACAACCAGGCGCATATCCTTACTATATGTACATTAAGAACTTACTCTCACATCAATAATAATAATGTCCATTTCCATAGAAAAGCAGACAGAGCAATCTTTTCAAGAAAAGCCTTTTCTTTGAAATACAATACAACACCAGTCTAGCTGAGAGGAAGCACTGAGAGGTGGAAGAAGGGGGAACGTGAAGGAGGGCCAGGAGGAGGCACAAGGAAGCAGGAAAGCTCTAGGAAGCAGAGTGATAGATAGAGGTATTAACAGAGGTGTGTACACGTGTAAATACATTAACCCATAGAAACGGGTATTGGCTTATGTACATATTATTTATAAGGCCTTGGGCCTCAGCTCATACCCTCCCTCAATACAAGAACACTTTGTTCTAACAAAATAGCATTTTGTGATCTCAGCCCCCCACCCCCACCCCTGCCTGACAGGATCGCCAAAGACAAATGGGTGCATAAGCAAATGCGCTGGAGACAGTGGATGGTGCCCAGCTATTAAAAGACATAGCGTCTGGGGTTTTAAAGGCTTGAAGTTAAACAAGCGGCCATCCAACAGCGAAGCAACAAGCCCACGTGGAAGAAGCACGCCAAAAGTGCTATTATGATGTTTCATCAGGACCAGGCAGCAGGCATTAGAAGATTCATAACAAACAACAAACAAACAAAAACGTGTTGGTGAGAATGAGGGGCATTGGAACGGATACCCAAAGCCCACTGTAGATAATGGA